GCTTCGAAATTTTGGAAATGTCCTAAATTAATTTTAGGAAATATGTGGTGCAAATAGAATGACTCTAATTTTGGCTTATAGCACACAGTTTTTTGTGAAAAAAAAAATGAAATTTTTAGCTTTAAGAAATATTTTGCGCTGGAGTTAAGGAAAATATTGCAAAACCTTTGGATGTGATCCTACCGATTATTAGGTCCTAAAACTATTTTTTATTGATTCTTAAAGTGAGAAAATAGAAAAATATCTTTAATTTTAGGTTTTAAATCATTGATTATAAGTGTTTAAAAATGAATTATAATATATTTTGCACGGAAAAAATATATTTTGAAAAACACAAATATGATAGTTTGTTGTTATAGTAAGAGAAATAAAAGAAACATTAACAAAAAAAATAAAAAATAAAAAACTAAAAAAAAAATTGAAAACGGAGGGATCGGTATGAAGATAGCGACTTACTCTGGAAAAAGTCGCTATCTTTTTAGCGATTATACTTAAGAAGAATAGCTACCAAAGTACCGATCGTATCATTTTCTTCTTTTTTATTCTTTTTTTTCTTTTTCCATTGAATAGCTATAGTAGAGTAAAATAGTAATCACAATGCAAAGTATCAACCTAATAACAAAAAGTGCTGACACATGGAGTCCTATTCATAGATCTAATAATAAAAAAACTAAAAATTGGACTAATCTAATTGTTAGGCCATAAAATTGGGAAAGGGATCCTTTCCGGATCTCTTCCACCATATCCACCCAATTACCTAATTCGAACCCTTGAAATTTAGTCCAACGGCTAAAGTTATTATAACTTTTAAAGGGGCCCCTTGTTTGTAGTCGTTGGATCAAATTTCAAAGGCCTGGATTGATTGATTGGGTGGAAGGGATCCGGAGATGATCTCTTTTCATAAAATTGGACCTATTTCAAGTTAGTTTATTTACACATAACAGATTTGTAAGGAAGAAGTTAATTTAAACCACATATTAATGAAATTCTTTTTGTCAACTATAAGAGGGTGAAAACCATTTTTGTCTTCTATCACAAAATAAAATTATGGACAATAAACTAATTTGCACAAAATAAATTTTACAATTGTTTTTAAAAGCATTATCTACATGTAATCCTAACAAATCACCTAAAAGAACTCCGGATTTTTACGCGTGTATTGTTTTATGAAACTTCGAATTTCTATGGCACTTATTTTCAAAACTTCAAGTTCGAGTTTAAGTATGAACTCTAGGTTCATGATACCTACAAACAAACACAATATACATATGTAGTGAACGAGAATAGCTTCGGGACCTATGTGTGAAAAGAATGAGTGACGACCCAAAATATGGGGTTATCGTGGCTTGCAAGCCCAAAAGAGTGGTTGTTGGGTTGTTGAGCAACAAAGGAGAAGTAAATGGGTTAACAAATTATATACCCAATTATTGGGCTAAGAAGGAAAAGTGAAAAACAAGGCCTAACACATGGGCTTGTTATTTCATGCAAGCCAAAAATAAAACAAGGCCCAAAGAAAAAAGAAAAAAAAAAAAAAAACAAGTGGGACAGTTTGGTGCATATGCCTAATTGGGTTGCGGGTTGACTGCAGGCAGTCCATGTCCATAAGAAAGGTGATGCAAAACGGCTTTGTTTTGGACCTTAGAGTTTTGGAGCAAGAACAACTTGGTGGCTCAGGTAGCACAGCTTCAGGCTGCAGCTCCCATGCGTGTAGGGTTTGAAAATTCCCTTTTTTTTTCTTCTCTTATTCATGCATATTCAATTCACCACAATTATAAGAAAAATCAATTTAAGCTAAATCTATAATTTGGAAAAAAAAAAAAAAAAAAAAAAAAAAAAAAACGTAAAATTAGAGTTCATGCTTCATGGTGAATGTTTCATGCAATCATTGCTAAAAAAATATCGAAATTGAAACCATGTTTTATAGATTACTTGCTTGATGAATATTGTGAACGGCTTTGTAGTAAACAAGCATTCAGTTCCTTAGTTCAGTGTTAGGGGCATGTTTAACAATGCGTTGTGGCCTAAATTTAACTGAATGAGAGAGAAAGGGGTGGAGCTGCATAAAGAGAAAAGATATGCTTGGGAATTACTGTGATGATATTTCTCCGTACCTTGTGCCTTTTTAAAGAAAAATAATGGGGTTACTTGCCCTACAAGTAATACAAAGTTGTGCCTTTTTGTTTTTTTGTAATTAATTCTTGAATTGTTTCTCACTAACATTAGTAGTTGTTGAGACTATAAATACTCAAGTAATGATTTTTATTGTGAAATTGGTGTGAATGCCCACATAAAGAAAACAACCACATATGACTAAGGGTGGAAAGTGGAAGAATAGAAGTCAAAATTATATTGCTTAAATAGTTTTTATTGTTTTGGTGTGTTAGCCTTTTACATGCATTAAAAGAGACGTATGCTTGTATCGTATGGGTAGTACAAAAAGATGAAAAGTAGAAAGTAATGATCATGATTTTCTCATTTGTCCCTCTCTACGTTCATTTTTCTTATTTGATATTAGTGAAGAAGATAAACAGAATAATACATGGCTCCCGTTTCACTTCAATCTCCAACAACTCTAATAATATATATAGATACACATCATCTGATAATAACATGTTTCTAAATGCTCAAGGTAATCATTATCTTGAATTGGTCATAGCTCCAAAAGATTCCAAAACAAAACTGTCAAACACTCTAATACTTTAGCACATTCAATCACACATATTAAATATTAGCCCGTTCTATCAACTATATTTTTCTCTCAAGTGAGGCATAAATATATATATATATGGCCCTTATGACCAAATATATCTCGGGATACTAAACCTAGTTAGAAACTAATTTTTATTTTTTTTTAGTTTTACATATATTACAATAAACGGTTAAATGGATACCCGTTTATAACCGTGAGTAATACCCATAACCTCCCATTTAAATTTCACGGATAAACGGTTATACTCATAACTATTTATTTATCTAAATGGTTACTCATAACCGTAATCGTCAAATTTAAATAGACGGATAACTATGGTTACCCTTAACCAATGAGTATTTGTCCATTCTTAGCCCAGACCAAGCAAAAAAGTCGACGAATGGCCAGACCAACCACGGAGAAATCAATTTTCTTCTTATTATTTTTACTTGTAATTGCGTTGGTAGACATTATCCTAGACCAACCATAAGCGGCCCATGTTTATAATATCATGATGCTATAATAATTCCTTGCAGTTTTATATATATAATCACTTTATCTTGGTTGTAGAAATATCCAAAACCAATCTCTAACCTCTCTCAGTAAGAGGAAAGATAAAACCTTAGCAATTCTTATGGTCCAATCATATTTTGAAATAACTGAGTTCCCTAGAAAAATGTCAAAATAATCTAGTAGAAACTAACCAATATTTATACACGCAATATAAAAAAGGGGTGACTTAAACTCGATACCTTAGATGTAGAGTAAATATTATTAACCAATTGAGTTAAAAGCTTTTTGCAACCAATAATATTTAGACGAAAAAGAAATGTTAGTCAATAACTTACTTAAAATAGCTAGCATTATATTGGTAAGAATAATGGCAACACTTAAGGATAAGGATATATTTTACAATCAAACCTAGATGGGAATAAAAGAACCAATAAATCACCAATGTTTCATCTTGAATTATTATGAAGTTCTTCCATGCCACATCAGAAGATGGAAATAAAGATTCTGCCACACCCATTATTACTATAGCCAGGCTAGCTATAAGCATCCCTCAAATTGGGTCCATGATCTGCTTCATGTGAGGAACCAGGAAAAGTACCCCTTCTGTAGAGAAAGAGTAAGAGAGCAATGAGGAAGGTGGCAAATAGCAAGACTAGAACCAGCATCATAATCTCCCCTTGGACAGCGAATTTTGGGTGACTGATCAAGGGGAGAAGCTCATCGTTTTGAGACTTGGGAGCCAATGAAGGTGACAATAATGGAGTACTTGCCATGCTGAATAAAATTAAGGTGTAAATTAATTTCCTTTGCTCTAGGAATTTAAGGGATTGGTTCATGCTTTGCCAGGCGTTTCAATTGTTAACTGATTGGTTGGTCCATACTTCTTGTTGTTAGTTGATGTTGTGTTGTCAGGTCTGCATGTGAAAAGTGAGGCCGACAGGATACAGAGCACGCAAGGAAAGTATTATGGGCTAGTCCAACCGATCCTCTCCGGATTCTTATGAAAATCTTAAGGATTCGTGAATTGTGTTTATTTATTATACATTATATAATTAGTTTTTATTAAGTATTGTTTATGTTAAATTTTAAATATAAAAAATTCAAATAATTTCTGACCGCATGATGTACAATGAACGGGCACGATTCACTGATTCCTGAATCCTCACAAAGAGGATCAGAGCGAGGATCTGAACTCTGGCCTAGTTTGGTATTGATGTGTTATTTAAAAAAAATTATTTTTGATGTACTGTGAGAATAAAAAGCTATAAAATAATATTGTTATGTTTTTGAGAAAATTTTATGTAAAATTGTTGTAAATATGTTATGACTAAAATGTATATATTATTTAATGTGATATAATAATTATGAAAAAGACTAATGCAGTGACAAATATTAAAATTTTGTAAAATATGCAGAGTATACTTGTTATTTAAAATTTTCATTAAATGTGCACTGTTTACTAAGATTTGAAAAAACAAAACATTTTTTTAGAAGTATGCTAAACTCTAATTCTACTTTTCTACTATTATTGACAGCAATTTTTTAAATAAGATTTTTTTTTTTATTTTACCAAATTTTAATTTTTTTCCATACCAACCCTATATATAATATAAGGTAAATCTCAGTTTATTACTCTGAAATTTCTTGATTTTCAACATTTAATAAATATTTTTTATCTTAGAATGATACATAAAGTTATAATTTTGAACATTTTCATACATCCGTTAAGTTTATTGATAAATCAACCGTTAACTGATAACATAACGCACACTTGAACATTGATTAGACGCTATGTGTCATAGGAGCCCCGTAAATATTAAAAAAAATTAAAAAAAAAAAAAAAAAAAAGTTTCTAGGTTGCCCCTACCTCAACCCCCGACCCCTCCCTCCCTTCAACTGGGCGGCGGGGGAATGAATCCACTCCCTTTTTGTGCTGCATATGGGTTTCCCTTTCCCAGATCTGCAACTCACTCCCTTCTCTTACCTCCCGTTCAACTGGAATAAAAGAAAGAATCCCGTCCATTTGCATCTCAAGAAGTTGCAGAAGTATTAGCAGCAGCACCGCTGCCGGTCATCGATTCAGCGTCTTCCACCGTCACCAACTCCGAATCCGAAGACAACCCATCGTCGCTGCGGCCTAATCCGGAATCCCCAGTTCGTTCTCCTTCTTGGCCATCGCCAACTCCTGCTCCAAACGGTCATCCTCCTCATCTCAAAACCCAACTCCATCCTCTTCACCTCAAAACCCAACCATGAAATCAAAAGACACCCTTCTCGATCAACAGCAACTCCAAAACCCTATCGAATCGGGCCCTGTTGAACCCAATCTGCGAGCCAAGAGACGCCGTCGCAGGAAGAAGTTCTTCACAGTGTCCAATGGTTCTCCGTCGTTGGCCAAGAACCGCCACACCAACCTCAACAAAGACGTCGACGTCAAAGCCAGTAATTGTAATATCAGTGGGTTTTCCGGTCGACTCGCTCACGGAGGAGGAAATTGAGGCCCACCGGTCTGTCAGCGTCTCTCCCTCAATGCCCAATTGGATCTCCTCCGTATCACCCCTTCTCTCTTCTCCTGCTTCGACGCTGTCACCATGCTCGCCCTCAAATGCGACCGCAGATCCATCGGCGACGAGGAAAATGGGTCCAGCAGATTGGACGCTCACAGCGGCAGTGGTTTGACCATGAGGGAAGAGGTGGTTTGGCGATTCGACGGGAAGGGATGGGCTTACGAATAGACGGTGGAGTTGGGATGATGGGTCGGGGATTACAATCCGCTCTTACCGGCATGGGTATGGGTCGATGGAACTGGAGGTGGCAATGGTGAAGAACGAAATGGGGATTTCAAATTATTAATTTTGCTGGTTGGATCGAAATAGGGATGAGGTTACTTGGATTGACAAAAAAAAAAAAAAAAAAGCCTAGTTTTAAAAAAAAATATTTCTTTTTAAAAGTTTATTTTTAATTATTTTTTTATGTTCAAGTAGGACCATATTCACATATGACATTTAATCATAAGACCACGACAGATCCTAAAATAAATGAAAGGAAAAAGCATGTATCAATGAATAATTCTAAGAATATTTTATTCTTATCAAATAGGTCCAAAGCCTTATTAAAATTGTTTGAATTCTTGTCATGTAATAAAAAAAATTAATTTGGTCGGGTCAATAAATGGGTAGAACCCTACTATGGTTCCAATTATAGGAAAACGAAAAGTAATGAGCTTCGCTAACATGGTAGCGGCATGTATAAGAGCTGAAATGGGGGTAGGCCCCTCCATGGCATCAGGTAACCATACATGAAGGGGAAATTGGGGTCTACATAAATGTCACGTCATCAGTTGACTGCTGATTTAACAGTACATTTAATGGATGTATGAAAGTGTCATAAAATTATAACGTTATGTACCACTCTAGGATGAAAAAAACTTCATGTATAAAATATTGAAAACCAAGACACTTCAAAGTAGTAAACTGATATTTATCGTATAATATACTACCATTTGATTTGACACAACGTCTGGCTACCATCTAATCACAAATCAAGTTCACAACTATATGCCGTTAAGTAACATCTATGAGTCTATACAATGTTCCCTCTCATCTGATCTAATGTACGTTGATGGACTTGAATGAGAATTCTTTTCGGATCCTTTTTATGAGGATTCTTTCCGGATCTTCATTGTAAGGATTCTCAAATCATGTCCGTTTATCATACATTATACGGTCAGAAATTATTTTAAATATTTTTATTTAAAACTAAATATGAATAGTACCTGATAAAAATTGGCCGCATGATGTACGATGAACAGACATAATTTGAGGATCCCAAAATCCTCACAAAGAGGATCTGGAGAGGATTCTCATGCAATGGAGTTATCCAACATTAGGCCAGAAATTCGTATCGTGTTTTTCATATTCGTGTCGTTTTCATGTCATACCCGATATCTTAACAAGTCGTGTCATGTAATACCCGTTAAAGTAAACGGGTAATATGATCCAACCTGAAATCGACATGTTAATATTATCAGGTATAACCCGACTAGTTACCCATTAATGAAAATATATTTTAAATCAATGAATAATGAAAATGAAAAGCATGACTTGACCCAAAAAAAATGGAAAACATAATACTAAATTAGTATAAGCATGCATACCACATTGTCACAATAATATTACTTCAAAACATGAAGAAAAAAAAAACATTTGTCTTTGAAGTATTATATACCCCAAAATAAGAACCTAATGAAAAAACATTACTTCAAAATACCAAATATTCAAGGATATGCAAAATGAAGGGAGTTTTGTTTCAAGGTTGAGGAACCTTGCACGTTTTTTACAATAAAAATTCAAAAGATGATGTACCCATCCAAAAAGCTTAGAGGATGTGATCACGAGCGCATGCATATTTTCTTCACATTTTTCGCACTTGTATTATAATTTTTTTTAATGTGTTTAGTTATTTTAAATTACTTGATATTTTATTTTTAATGTGTTTTATATTTTTTTTAATCTCACTTTTTGCCTATAGTATACTAAAAAAATAAATTTTAAAATTTTTAATTTATATAGAATAATAATACAATAATACATATTTGTTATACAATATATACCTATACATCTTATAGTAAGTTGTTTTGTAGTATAAAAAATTAAAATCCTCAAAATAACTTTTTTCTTAACTTGGCGAAATGGGGTATCCGTGTGTCACCATCACGTAAACATGTCAAGGATCCAGTATTAACGGGTTCTTATCGTGTGACCCGATAACAACTTAATTAGTTATCATGTTAACCCGAAACCCGTTATTTTCGTATCATTAACAAGTTGTGTAAGAAATTGTCAAGTCTATCCAACATGACTTAGGAGTAGTTTGTGAATACTTTTATAGGAAGCATTTATAATAATAATGGTCTTTAGTGAAAGCACTTTTGTTAGAAGTGTTATTTGTCATCTGAAAGTTCTTCAAGCGATTTGAAAGTGCTTTTCTTTCAAAATTAATTGGAGTCAAACAAGCCAATACTCTTGTGGGTTTGCAGTAAGCATGTTTACTAGATTCGAAATTAAAATGAAGTTTATTAGTTTTTTTTTTTCTTATATTATTTTGTGTTTGTGATAGAGTTAATTGTGATACAATATAAATGTGTGTATATATTATGACACGTTCATGGGCTGAATCTAGTAGACCAAAGAAAATCTATGACGGATGTAGCCCCATTGGTCTTTCTGCTTATATGTTCAGTTTCTATGTCTGATGCCACAAACTAGAAAATCATTGACCAAAAAAACCCAACCCCATAAGAGCGAGTTTGAGGGAATCATCAAAGTGGCGACCCAGACTAAACGAGGATTCAGTGAGCAGAAGTGGCAGCAATTGTTTCTTAGTACGTGTATGAAGATTGATCTGCCGCAATGGAATACCACTACACTTGTACTAAGCAATGGAATACCGCTGCACCTGTACTAACTTCTAGTATCTACTGGACAAGTAAATTTAAGCCATCGGTTAAATATCAACCAAGTACCAACCGTACCATGTATTGTCAGTCGATACTTGTGTCAAACAATCTTTTCGTGTAACTTTTTAATATTAACTGATAATATGACTAGTAATTAATAAATGAGACTCACCATGGCACCGAACCAAAAAATTCGTATCCCTTGAGGTATATTTATATTCCAACATCATTGTTATTCCAAAGGCATGATCTTGATGGAATATCAATTGAATTTGGAATGAATTCTGCAAAGTAATATAGTGCCCTGGCTGATATAAGTTGTGGAATCCACGTAGCAAATTGCAAGCGTGGTCCTCTAAACAGTGCCACCCATTCCAACTTTAACCATATTCCCAAGTCAATTTGTTGGCTTAAAATTCCAATATTTTTTGTGATGGTTGTTCAAATATTCTCCCCAATTCCATTCCCTATGCTCCGATGGAGATTTGCAGCTTCTTTGATAATGGAGGCATGAAAAAATACAAGGAATAATTTACTTTAAAACTGTTGTCTATATACTGCAAAGAACATGCATATAGTCGGCCAAAAATTACAAATGGCTAGCATAGAGGATTGGGGAAGAAGCCAAACTCTACACAAGCTTGCCAAGCAGCTTGAGTTTTACAAACCTCCCTCCGCACTGGATAAATCGGAGGATGATAACGAAAGCGATAGATCTGTAAACTCTGGTATAAGCTTCAACTCTTTAGTAGTCGGCAATGAAGAGTGTTCTTGTGTCAAGTTGAGGTTGAGAGAGAGAAGAGCAGCTGTCCTGATATGCATCTTTGAGGGTGCTGAGGGTGAGCTAAGAGTTCTTCTTACTAGGAGATCCATGAATTTGGCATCACACCCAGGTATAATATGCTAAATTTGTTGTAAGGGAATGATCAAGCTCCTTTTCACCCTCGCGCCCCTATTTGTTTCTGGCCTTTATATAGAATAAAACCAAAGGAGAATCCAAGGATAAATAAATAGGGGTATGCAAGGGAAAGAAAGATGTGTGGAAATAATTTCTTATTTGTTAAGAATGCTACTAGACCCACCCCATTGTCTTATTTTCCCACCCATATTATTATTTCACTCACCATAAAAATTTTAAAAATTAAAATGCTATTTTCCCACCTACTATTATTCATAAAATAACCTTTAATATATTTAAAAAAAAAAAAATCTTGATCTCCATCCTTAGTCACATCGCTACACCTTCATTATACTCTAGCCGCACCAACACATGACTTTCAATGAAACTTTGGATTTGGGTGGTGGGTCGGGGTCCGGCTATTGTGGTCAAGTTGGTGGTTTGCATTTTCTATGCATGTTGTTGGTTCTCTGAAACTTTGGATTCAAAACAACCCACCAATGACTTTCAATGAGGTTGTGAGCTTCTTGGTGTTGGAAAGATGGAAGCATTTTACGGAAAATCATGAGCTGGTGCTTTGATGTTGCCTTTCTTAAGCTTAAGTGCATCTTGTTGAATCCAACCCCAATTGACACCCAAACCCCTCACACTTGCCTCAAATTCAGGCCTTACCAATATCCACTTTTGCATATCGGTGTCGTTGAGGACGATGGGAGGTGATTACTTGTTAGTGGCAGGTCACCCTGTTTTCTCTTATTTCGCCAGCCGTATGATCAAATCCACTCAATCTTGGCCATTACAAAAATAGTAGCGTTGACTGCCACGTAGGACCACATAGGGGTTTAAAAGTCTTTTGATAAAAAGATAAATATGTCATTAAAATTTTCATTAACAAGTGGGTGGAGAAATAGGTCACTGGGGTGGGTTTAACAGCACTCTTTGTTAATAGTCTCAAATTAATGTTAGACTTGGCCATGAACGCTATGGTTTTCTAAATCTGTTCTAGAGATTACACAGGAGATGTAGCATTGCCCGGCGGAAAAATGGATAAGGAAGATGCAGATGAATCTGCAACAGCACTAAGGGAAGCCATGGAAGAGATTGGACTCAATCCAAGTCTAGTTCAAGTCGTTGCAAAGCTAGAGTGCTTTATGTCCCAGGTACCACATACATGTATATGCTCATTTCTTTTCTTTTGACATATCGGTACAGTGAAATTTGAATCGAACGTACTTTTTTTTTTTTTTTTTTTTTTTTTGTTTGCCTTGCGCAGCATTTGGTCACCGTTGTCCCAGTGATCGGACTAGTAGCTAGAATTGAAGATTTCAAGCCTGTACTCAACGCCGACGAAGTTGATGCCATTTTTGATGTTCCAGTTGGAGATGTTTCTCAAGGTTATTTCTACCATACAAAAATAGTATATTGCCCTACAAAGGTCACAGGCAGAGCATGCATATGTCAATTTATAATCTTTTGTCAAAACGTAATTAAAAGTGGTTTCTTTTTTTGTGTAATGCAGAATGATAATCACAGATTTGAGGAGAGAGAATGGAGGGGTTGCAAGTACAGTCTCCATCTTTTCGATTTTGAATCAGAGCAAGGGCCGTTTCTAATTTGGGGACTAACTGCAAGCATTTTAATTCGGGTGGCCGCTGTCATCTACAAGCAGCCTCCATTATTCCAAGGACACAGCCTCCCTGACTTCCAAGAATTACAAAAAGCCTTGCATAGTGTGCATAATGTTAATGTAACATGAGATTATATACTACTACATATGTTGGAGAAATAAAAAAAGAAATGAATACTAATTGATACATCATATTCCGGGGTCTTAGTCTATGATTGAAACCATTTAATTTTTAGATTCTCTTTCAACGGTTATCCGTAGTAAAAGTCAACAAAATTAGTAATTGCTTATATGCTTAAACTTTTTGTATCTCTATTTTAGCTTTATACCAAACCACATTTGCACATTTTTAAGTGACCAAACAGTTTTGGATTTGGATGATTTTTATGCTAGGATAACCTTGAAGACTTCAAATATAGACAATTTCGACCGTTGGATTGCATTGTGGCACAACCTTAGGAAGAACTAGAAAATATGCCCACAGTTGCTGAGGGAATTGAATGCATCATGCGTAACTACATGAATAAGACACATTTAACCTAAATAAATTCAACACAATCATCAATGAATAGAGAGACACGAGTGAATGAGGTCAAAAAGATAAGCAGGCTTGGTTTTTATATACATTCAACTGAGCTGACATGTAAAGACATTGTACAATTAGCTAGACGAAACTAAACGTTCAAGTAGCTTAACTTTCCAAGCACAAACGTTCAAAGCAAAAAATATGCAGAAGACTTGTTTCCATAAGAAACAGAAGCACCATGCACTTGACACATATTTTGCTTCTGCAGTTAAGACGGCACACACTCAAATTGCACAAACACTGCACACACTCACACACACCTGCATGGCACAAAAGCAGTGTAAAATCTACATGTTTAGGCAATATCATCATGCTTGAGAATTCAAATTGTACAAACATTGCACACACCGGAATTCATATTATGATCCAGAAGCTTTCAAACTATGCATCAAAAGCAAAAGCAAGATATAAGAAATGAAAATGAAAAAACAAAACGAAAGCAAAAGCAGAATGAAAGCTAACATATGTCTTGGCCAACATATTTATAAGATATGGATACCAATCCACGGGACTCTAAACACCAAATAATTACGAATTTAGCTAAAGAATGTTAGCCACAAAAATCCTATTAATGAATCTCAAAATTTTCCCTAACCATTAAAATGGTAATGAAGCTCAGAATATTCCCTAAACACCGAAACCCACAGTACATGCCGTCTACCCAACAAAGATAAATTAAAAACAACAATTGCAAGATCAATAAGGACTTTGTGAACTACAACGATTAAAAGGGCTGGAAAAACACTAATCTAGATAAACAAAAGAAAGTGCACATTAAAGAGCACCAAAAAGCCAAACACTTTCAAGGTTGTCAAACAAATTTCAGTTCAAGGGGTTGAACCCATTGATCTAACTGCAAACATACAAAGGACAGAAGAAAAAATGCAGAAGAGAAAATCCAAAAATAAGAATGCCCCCATGATTATTGTTTTCATTTATCACTCACAAACCAATCACATATTTAAAATCTAGGCATGAAAGCTTTAGAAAGATAAATAAAAAATCCATTTAACTAAATAGGCTGTGAACATGCAATCAGGGCACATAATTATATACCTAAAAATGGCAAGGAACCCTTCTTCCTCCATGACCCGAGTTTCTAAAATTTCCAAAGAAAATAAATCCTTTAGCAATTCAGAGAAATTCGAGGACCAAATCTGATTAAATTCTGGTTAAATGAGCAAAGCTACACCAATTAAATGAGAAATTAAAAACATATTGAATCTAAGAAATAGAAGAATAATCACACTAAGACTCCCAAGACGACTATATTCAAACATTTTAGAGACGAAAGGAGCTCAAAAGTTTAAAATAGGCAGGTCAAATACCTTCAGTAAAATGCAATGATTTACCAATCTAATCACCAGAAAGTAGCACACAACACCAATCCGAGAAATAGGAACATCGGGATTGAATCCAAAATCACCTAATCAATGAATTTAATAAGTTTAGGGATTAGGTTCCAGAAAGATAATTGAAATTATAAAGAAACCAAAAATAGGGGTAAATTTCTATACATGGAAAGACAGTGAACCCTAAACCCTTATTTTCAAGCTCAATATATTTGCTGTTTTATCATGCGAAACACATAGAAAGCCAAAGTTCCCGATCAAGTTTACAACGACAAACACATCACAACTTGCTGTTTTTACATGAAACACATCCAAAAGTCAATACATTTGCTGTTTTTATTCATGAACCAAGCTCAACCCACTTTATGATTGCAAGAAATGCAAAAAATACAAAAGAAAATGTACACAGCATGAACCTCACCAAAAAATCTTCAAGAAACAACACAATCTCACAGCGGTGAAACAATAATGGCCTTGCGCCAATAACCATCAATAATCAATGGGTTCATGCCTTAAAACTTGTTAATAATAATTAACAGACAATGGGAGCAACAAAAGCTTGTTAATAATAATTAACAAACAATGGCAGCAACCTAACTGTTGAATTGATTAACTACAGTATCTGCTGAAAATAGCTTCACCAAAAAGAAGATTTTCAAACAGGCAGCAACCTGCCTGTTGCCATTCCTAGTCTCATTACTTGTACAAATAGCTTCACCAAAAAGAAGATTTTCAAACTTGAATTTAAAAATTCACTTAAGTTTAAATACGTCACGGATGAATTGATTAACTACAGTATCTGCTGAAAATATATGACAAAAAGTTAAATTTGAATACTGATCAGGAGGTAAACACAGAAATTCCTAATCAACCAAGTTACCAATGTCCTAAATCCTAATCACAAAAAAAGCACACTGATCAAATTAAAACTCCGAACTAAAACAAACCCAACTATAAATATCATTAAAAATGAATATTTCATCATTTTGGTATAGCAGCATAAAGCCTCATTAAAAAGAGAAAAAGAGAAAATGCAGAGGGAGAGAATACAGCAGCATAATCAATCAAGTTGATGCATATTTCAGTCGAGCCTCATTAACAACAGAAAATACGGCAGCACAGAGCATAACAGAAGCTTGGAAATGGAAAAGGAACCTGCAATTAGGTTTCTTCAGAAGCAAAAATGGCAGAACGAACCCAGAATCACAGAGACAGAGAGAGAATGTGGAGTGAGTCAATCTGAGCTAAATAAAGAAAATGAGCTTTAGAAAGTAGGAAAGGATGTTGTTCAACAAACTAAACAGTCAAGAAACCATTTTTAAATTTGAATCAGAGGACACACCAACTGAACACAGTGCATTACCTTTTGAATCAAGGGAGGAAACAGAAAAATCAAACTCTCCCATACCTCCTTCAGTAACCCCTTCCTGACCGGCTAACCCCACAAACTGCACACAACCATGCCTTCCCCATCAATTCTTGCGGAAATGGCTTCCAGCCGGAACAAAAATTCTGAAAGCAACCCTGCCCCCTAGCCCTCCACCCCTGCCTCGCCGTCTCTCTGCGCACCCGTTGCCAACAAAAACAAAACCAAACTTTCGGGCACCCCTCTCTCCTCCCATCTTTACTCCCATCCCTTTTGCAACGCACGGCTCTTCCTTCTCTCCTCTTCCCTCTGCCATTCTGCAGGCTGAAGGTTGGCCTTTGTCGGTGAGTCACTGCATCCACCTCACCTTATACCGAATCCAACCACCAGCCACAGCCCAAACCCGCAAAAGCCCATCCGCCCAAACCCAAAAAAAAATAAAAAAATGTTCCAGCCCGAACCCAAACCTTCCACAAAGATCACTCATTAAAGCAATGGCATGGCGTAAATAGAGCGAAAATCGGGTCCAAACCACAAAGGCCACTCTGTAAAGCAGTGGCTTGGCCGTAAATAGAGTGAAATCCGGGTCTAAACACTGTTCATTTGAACAGTGCAATTGGAATCCCTTCTCTAGACTAATGTAATGTCTGTGATATAAAATTTAAAGAGCGTTCAAAAATAAAATAAAATAAAATAAAATTTAAAGAAAACTAATTAAAATGATTTGAAAATTTTAAGTTTTAACGATAAAGATAAAATAAAAGATAAAGTGCATAGTATATGATTGACTTTTTAGTGTAAAAATATGGTTTTTCGTTAAAATGAATAGTGCCGGAAGTTTTTCGTTAAAATTCCCTAAAATTTATTGTAGAAAGACCATGAATAGTCATAGTTTCACAGAAACTTCTCCAAAATATAAAACTGGAAAGGTTAGCACTGAGTTCTTTGAAATTCAGTTGCCTAATTCAATGTAGCTGATATATGAATGAATGCATTCCTTTTGGTCATGTTGTTGCAAACCAAGAATCCTTCTATCAATTTGCTTATTAATAAGGGAGTTTTAACGAAAAGCGCACAGTATTATTCATTTTAATAAAAAAATCACATTTTTACACTAAAAAGTCAATCCTTGTACTATTCAATTTACCCTTTATTTTATCCTTATCATTAAAACTCAAAATTTTCAAATATTTTTTATTAGTTTTTCTTATTAAGATAAAGCTATAATTTCATCGAAAAAATCCGACAAAAAATTATTTATTCACAGTCAAACTATCACCAGCATCCGTGTATACATATACGCAGACTTAGATGACATGTTCCCTTTGTACATGCTCCGTACCATGACCTAATCAACTCTATAGAAACTTCACCGTAGTTTCTTGCATCTTTCATGGTGGAAAAATAGGTGCTCAAATGACCAACCTTTTATTCCTGGCAAAGTTTTATAATGATCGGTCGGATCACATTACTGATCAAACATTAATATTGTCACTAAATTAATTAGTTGTGTAATTCAGAAAAGTGTGTTGAGAAAAATTAGAGTACACAACTTGCCACAAGTGTTGGAGAGATAAAACAAGTAAAAAAATTACTTGTATTACACTCACAAAATATTACAACACATACTCTCAATGACACACCTTAGAAGCTATGACACTCTCTTTTTTTATAAAGACAAACCCTAGACCACTCACTCTTACAAAACTACTCTTGCTTCTCGCTCTCACTTGGTTGCCTCCTTGCTTGATTACTTGATTACAACACCACACGCATATTTATAGGTGTGATCAGCCAACCTTCCTAAGTGCCCAACCGACTTGGGCTTTCATTATAATTAACCATCTACTTGTTTCTACGAACAGCCCACCGACATAGGCTTTTGCTTCACACATTTGTTACAAGCTTCTAGAACTTTTTAGCTTAATATGCATGAACCACCGACTAAACAACTTGCTATAATTATCTAGCATTTTCTTAATATGCATGCACTGGCCATTGCTAGAATTGTCTAGAATCTAGATACCAATTGGGGTTGGTGCTGTTGATCTTCAACACTCCCCTCAACACCAGCTTATTCTTTCTTCCATGTTGAGTTGATGTCAGAGCTTTTTCCTGCACACCCATTTGCGTGATATGGGTTTCACATCTCTTCGCTTTGGCACGAGATTCCAAGCTTGATTTAGCTCCACTGCAATGACTTCTTCTCCCAACTTTGAGCCACTCAAGTTCAACTGCTTCTTCTTCTATGGTTACGTTAGCATATCTAGAATTTGGCTTCCAGATTCTTGTTGACCTCCTTAGTTGTGATCGTGGAGTTGATACTTCCACTTCACTAGGTCTTTCTTCTTCTGGTTGTTGATATACGCTAGGTTGCTAAGGGTTTTGAGGTACTACTTGCTCAACATCATCACCATCAAGTGAATCCTCATACTCATTTGGTCTCGATTGGATTCAAACAATTTGCTCCCCCATCTTCTGCTGCAGCTTATCTTCAATCTCTCTCGAATCAGGCAATGCCTCTTTTTTTGAAGACCACCAAGAAGATGTTTCATCAAACACCACATCTCGTGATGTGTAACATCTTCCAATTGTAGTATCACAACATTTCCACCCTTTTCTTTGTCTATCGTATCCCACAAAGATACATCTGATTGCCTTCTTGTCAAACTTGCTATGTAAATGACTTGGAACATATACATAGCACACATAGCCAAATACTCGAAAGTAACTAACTGTGGGTTTCATATCCCACAATTACTCTAAGGGTGAGACAAATTCTAACCTTGGTTGAGGAAGCATGTTGATCACATGAGCTGCAGTTCTCATTACTTCAGCCCAAAACCTTCCTGGTACATTTTTTACATGTAGAATACTCCGACATATTTCTACAAGATGTCGATTCTTTCATTCCGCTACACCATTCTATTGTGGAATGTTGGCACATGTGAACTGGTGACGTATTATACATTCTCGTAGATACTGGGAAAACTTATTTGAGGTATATTCTCCTCCATTATCCGTGCTTATGCAACAGATCTTTTTTCCCACTTCTCCTTCAACTGTCTCCTTAAACTCTTTAAATTTTGAAAATGTTTCAAATTTTTTTTTTATAAAGAAAATCCATACATACTTGGAGAAGTCATCAATGAATGTCACCATGTACCGCATCCCACTTATCGATGGTTGCTTGATGGGCCCGAACACATCGGAATGAACCAACTCCAACAGTTATTTTGCTTTAAACTTTGACTCTTCGTATGGTAGTTGATGTGCTTTGCCATACTGGCATCCTGCATAAACCGTGTATGTTCTCATGTCAAGTTGAGGTAGCCCTTTAAGCATTGACTTTTTCATCATCACATTTAGCTTGTGATAGCTAACATGACCCAATCTCATGTGCCATAAATCTGATGTCTTGTTCTTCCTTGTCTTGTCTACGTATGCAGTTTCTGCTGACATTACATAAACTGACTACAGTTGTCGTCCCTCCATTGTTTACGTCCCTAAGATCATGAGGTGTCGGTACACCTTCACATCTCGTGGGCCAAACAAGGCATCATTTCCTAATGACGTCAGCTGAGGCACTGAAAGCAGATTTTTCTTCATCCCTGGAACATGGTAGACATCTTAAAGCGGCACTTGGTTAGTGTTGTACCGGGGCACAATTACTGTATTACCGATATGAGCAATCGGTAACCTCGAGTCGTTGGCCATCACCACCAATTGACCTCTCTTGTACTCAGTCAGACTTTGACTTTTTCTTATCACCCGTTATATGGTTTGAGCAGCCTGAATCCACGATCCAATCATTCTTGTTGTTAATCGACTCCTGATTTGTTGCTGTGAGAGCTGACTTTTGCTTCTCCATAGCGAAAAATGCTTTAGCGTCCCACTCTTCCTCTAAAACTAAAGATGCAACGACGTCCCAATCATCTTCACTTTTCTCCTTTGAGCTGGCGACATTACTCTCTGCATACTTTTTGAACCAGCAATCATTCGTTATGTGGCCTTCTTTCCACAATTGTAACATTTTCCCTCATACCTTTTATTATTTTGGGACTGACCACGGTTGCCATGATACTTCGAAGCTCCCCCTGGCCGAGAACTCATTCCTCCTTGATGACCTTTCACCTTGTCACCATTTGATTTAGATCCTCCACCAGCGCGCTGTTTTAAGCTGCCTTTACTTTCAATGTAGAGCGTTTTCTCCTCACCTTATAACGAGACCCCTCCCATTTGCTTTACCAATGTTTCTTGATCGGTAAGTAAATTCTCAAACTCAACAAGTGATGGTTGGGTCAGCCATCCTTGTACAGCAGCAACGAAACCTTGATATTCGGGTCTCAACCATGGATAATTATTCTTTTTTACCTTGGTTTCTATAATTGCAGCAATAGGATCTAATTCAGAAATTTCACAGCAAATAGACTTTACCTTGTGGAAATATTAGGCAATCATCATGTCCCTTTGGGCCATTTATAACAACTCATTCTCGAGAAGTTGCAATCTTGTATCGTTCCTCTTTGAAAAGAGTATGGCAAAGGTGTCTCATGCTTCTTTCGGTGTTGAAGCCTTCCTTATATACTCCAACATGTCCTCTTCAACTGTGGTTTTCAAGGAGAACATTGCCTTACTTGCCTTGATCTTCCATTTCTGCAAAGTTCCGTTGGTGTCTTCTTCTGGCTATGTAACTTCATTACTGCCGACGACATCCCAAAGATCTTGGCCTTGAAGGTAAGACTTCATACATGTCACCTATGTGTTGTAATTTTTGTTGTTCAACTTCCTGATTCCTCCAACAACTTGAAGATCTCCCATCATGTCGGCAGAACTTCGATAAGCCAAACAAGATTAGTCAACAATCTTGCGAAGTACTAAACTTCTCACGATTCTTGAAAGCTTCACTAGAGACGATCCTCGATCGTACCGCTCTGATACCAATTGTTGAGGAAAATTAGAGTACACAATTCTCAATACAAGCGTTGGAGAGACAAAACAAACAAACAAATTACTTGTATTACACTCACAAAATATTACAACACAAACTCTCAAGGACACACCTTAGAAGCTATGACACTCTCTTTCTTTGTAAAGACAAACTCTAGACCACTCACACTCTCACAAGACTACTTTTACTTCTCACTCTCACTTGGTTGCCTACTTGCTTGATTACTTTGATTACAACACCACACCCATATTTATAGGTGTCATCAGCCAACCTTCCTAAATGCCCAACCAACTTGGGCTTTCATTATAATTAACCTTCTACTTGTTTCTACAAACAGCCCACCAACATAGGCTTTTGCTTCACACATTTGTTACAAGCTTCTAGAACTTTTTAGCTTAATATGCATGAACCACCGACTAAACAACTTGCTAGAATTATCTAGCATTTTCTTAACATGCATACACCGACAATTGCTAGAATTCTTTAGAATCTAGACACCAATTGGGCTGGTGTTGATCTTCAACAAAGTGAGGTTTCGTCACAGAAGATCTCGATGCAATTAGTAGACAAAACATCCAAGATAAGGAAACTTAATTTAATCAGGCGTCCAGACGTGGGACATGCTGTAACAATTCCAAATCTCGTCTGGACATGCTTTAACAACTCCAAATCTCTTTAAAATCAATTACACGAGTGACGTCCAACCCCATTCCCATTAAAAGTGAATTTCACACGAAGCTACCAATGGATTGATCAGATTACAAAAGCTTAAAGTCCATACCTTTATTTTTCTCCACAAAAAGGATTACATACTACTAACTAGCCACGAAGGCAAAGCTCTTAGTCCCCAAATTTGGCCATGGCCGGCATAACAAATGCTTATAGTGCAATAACCCTGGCGGTTCCGCCGTGGCTAAACAAAGGCCACAACACATGGCAACTTACAGCCGCCACTTTTGTAGGGTTACAAAGCATGTGGGGCCTTATGATCTTCTACGCCAGCATAGTGAAGAAGAAATGGGCAGTCAACTCAGCCTTCATGGCCCTCTACGCCTTCACCACCGTGCTCATCTGTTGAGTCCTCGTAGGCTACCGCATGGCCTTCGGGGACCAGCTCCTGCCATTTTGGGCTAAAGGTCCACCCTCTCTTGGTCAAAAGTTCCTCATCATCAAAGCCAAAGTGCCAGAAAGCACTCATTTTCACGACGGCGGATTGATTGAGACCTCGACGGTTGAGCCATTTTACCCTATGGCATCCCTTGTCTACTTCCAATTCACTTTTGCAACCATTACTCTTATTTTGCTAGCTGCGTCTGTTCTTGGCCAAATGAACATCAAGGCTTGGATGGCTTTTGTCCCTCTTTGGCTTTTATTTTCGTACACTGTTGGAGCCTTTAGTCTTTGGGGTGGTGGCTTCTTTTACCATTAGGGTGTCATTGACTACTATGGCGACTATGTCATCCATCTCTCCTCAGGCATAGCGGGTTTCACCGCCACTTATTGGGTAAGTACTTATGATTAAATCGTGAGTTTGGATCCTCTACTAATGTTTTTTGTGCTGATACTACGCATGAAGTTTTAGAATTTAGACTAATTTAAAGTTTTGCACATGTACTAATGCCATGTTTGCTTATGTGTTCTAGGTTGGTCCAAGGTTGAAGAGTGACAGGGAAAGGTTTCCACCAAACAATGTGTTGCTAATGCTTTGTGGTGCTAGTATGTTGTGGATGGGCTGGTCAGGCTTCAACGGTGGGGCCCCTTATGCTGCAAACATTGTTGCTCCAATAGCAGTGTTGAACACAAACATATATGCAACTACAAGCCTTCTTGTGTGGACGTCTCTGGATGTCGTGTTCTTCGGTAAGCTGTCGGTGATCGGAGCTGTTCAGGGCATGATGACGGGGCTTGTATGCATCACGCCTGGGGCGGGGTTGGTGCGGTCGTGGGCGACTATTCTGATGGGAATACTTTCTGGCAACATTCCACAGGTCTCCATGATGGTCCTGCACAAAAAGTCTACCCTATTGCAAAAGGTTAGAGTTTCTGCTTTCCACACTGTCTTTTTATTTCTACAATTTTTTGGTACTGTTTTTTGGCATATGACACGCATTGTGTATTTTCTAATCATGTCGTTAAAAACTTAAACGTTTTAATCTTATAAAGATAATTTTTAACGTTCTAATCTTATAAAGAGTTAATTTGTGCTCCTTCGATACATGAAATAAAGAATCTTAAGTAGGTTTAAGTCTCCATCAAACATTTTAATTTGTTTATATTTGGTCTTTCATTTCTTTTCCTTTGTTTTTTAAAATATTCATCTAGCTTACTTTGTATTCAAAGATTTCTACCTTATGGTCCCAACAAAAATCACATCCATCATTTTCCACTATACTAGTATATTATATTCGTTCCGTTATCCTTTAAATTTGTGCCTCCATCAACAGTAAATTGACCACCATGAAGATTAGGTTTTCTAGAAGATATTCCATTAGTCCTCTATCCTCTTTCCTTAATGCTTGACCAATCATCAATGAACAAAAGATCATAAATGAAATGAAAGGAATAGAAGGGGAGAAAACTAAAACTAACATTACAAATCCGAGTTCGTTCGGTTAAGATAGTGTATTCGCTTGAAGCATCTAATTTTAAATTACTTTTTCAAATTAGAACAACATAGATAATCGCCTTACTGTCACATAAATTAAATTAAATTCTTACCATATACAATTTTTTATTATTTACAGGTGGATGACACCCTAGGGGTATTTCACACACATGCAGTGGCAGGGCTTCTGGGAGGTCTGCTGACTGGGCTTCTGGCGGAGCCAGCACTTTGCAGGCTTATACTGCCAGCCGGCAACAGCAGAGGTGCATTCTACGGTGGCAATAGAGGGATGCAATTTCTGAAACAATTGGTTGTAGCCATGTTTGTGATTGCTTGGAACATCGTCTCCACCACTTTTATACTTCTGGCAATTAGGGTTTTCATACCTCTGAGAATGCCGGAGGAGCAGCTTAATATCGGAGATGACGCCGTTCACGGAGAGGAGGCTTGCGCTCTTTGGGGTGATGGAGAAAAATATGATCCAATCCTGTATCTCCAGCCAACAGTCCACTCTGTGTTCAATTTCTGAAGAAGATAACTCTTTTTATGCGAGTGACACTGGGAGGGGAAATCGAACTCAATACCTCAAGTGCAATCACAATTGCTCCGTAATGGAATACAAAAAGACGAGCAACATAACATGCAAAACGAATAATATGAATCCAAAGTATACCAATTCCATTTGATCTGAGCAGATGGTAGTTTCCTTTACAGTGATTTAAGGTTGTCATACAAACCCTTGAACTGTTAACGTGGGTACCAGTACCCAAAAATAGCTACTTTACATGCTAGAGTATCCTATGTCCCACTCTGAATCCTAAAACCCAGAAAAGTAGATAGAACTTTGGCTAATCGAAGTGTTCCCATTCCTGATTTGGTTCTGTTGAAGATGGCTCTGGCGTTGACGTTGGGGGATTCAGGGATCCAACTCCAGAGTCAAAGGTCTCCCACTCGGTTGTTACTGTGACAGCATTGCTACTGTTGTTAACTGGATTGCTGTTCCTCACCTTTAGAGCATCCAACTGCATCCACAAAGTTCTGGACACGTCGCACCTGTACAAGAAAATTGTTAAACCTGCCATAACAGATCCCTAATAGTTTATGGAACTTCAAAAGTTTGTAACAACCTATAAAATAGCCATTACATACTGACATTCCAATGTACTATTGCAGCAAATCAATTTTCAGCACAAAGAGAATAAGCTGCGAACATAAGGAGACCTTTATAGTTTATATTCACATCCATAAAATTCCATTGGAAGCAGTCCTATCTGCTGTACAAACTTTTAACCATGGTTGTGATACAGTAGACAATGTAAGAGAGGGTCGCCACACCACTAGCAACCCGTAGCTTAGCGGTACCTCTTCCTATTTCTAACAGGAAGCTCTTGAGTTCCGATCCTAATATAGCACATAGTTGAATCTCCAAAGGCAGGGCAAGGGTTTAAGTGAGGACGAAATGAGGAAGACAGGACTGAAAAAGAGCATGGCGAAGGGGAGAAATAGAATAACTATTGGAATTTGGAAGAGGGGTAACCGATCTCGTAATGCTGATCCATAAGAAAATCTAACAGCTCCAAATGCAGAAAGTAATGCAATTCCATCGCAAATACCAACATCAACACACATATAATGCTACTCTATGAAGAATATGACATCAACCGTAAGACACATGATACGTAGCAACAACAAAAGCCAACAATGCTTATATTGAGCAATCCTTTCGTTGTTTCAAGCAATACAATGAAATGATCTCTGTGGTGGAAGCCCTCAAGTGGAGTCTACTATGTGCGAAGATACTGAAGTTGGGCCCAAAGGACAAGTATATACTGACTACTATGCATCCAACCTTTCCTCAAAAACAATTTAGAAGAAACCTGGTGGGGTTCTTTAAATTAACACAACGGTAGAATCCTAAATAGAATACAGATAGGAAATCTTTTGATTCTCCCTCCCATCGCTTTGCATTGCTTCAATCACTCTAATCATTGGCAACGCTGCCATCTCACCACTAGAATCCATCAATTTTGATACAATCCATGCTACAGCAAAAGAAATTTTCACCTCCCTATATCTATAAACTACAACACTCCTCAACGCCGATGATCACAACAACTTCATTGTGTGATCAGTACAACACAGCACATCATTTCCACGAGAACAAACAAAATGCGTAGCAATTCCATCATAAGAAACCAAAAATCATGAAAAATACAAACCTCTGCCTTGCGTTGCATTTTTTCTTCTCCTTCAGCTTGAATGCCGTCCAATTTCAGCAACTGCCTCATGAGCAACTCTGTTGGCACAACAAATTCTTTATCGGAAACCTCGTTCCTGCCAGCCACAGCCACTTCCAAGGCAGTAACCTTTTAAAATCCAACAAAGCATTGTGAGCACCAAACAAATCTAACATTTTGGTAACTAAATACAATTGGCACACGGAACTCACCCTCTCCGCGAGCTTATCAACCTCGGCTCTGACTTCAGCAATCGCTTGAGAAGCTTTTGACATGACATTGCTTTTGCCTCCAACATCTCCACCACTGTTTGGCATCTTTTTGCTGTTGACTCCAACTTCTCCAGCACCGACTGGCATCTCATTGCTTTGATTTACCTCCTCAACCTTACTCTCCTTTCGGGCTTCCAGAAGCAGCACCTTCGAATTATTCTTCACACCGGCAATGTCCAGATGCTCCTCATCTGCCTTCTCCATCCCCCTGAAAAAGAGTCTCTGCGCCTCTGGCTCCAAATTAGTCTTCTGTGCAACATGTTTCTTCATATCCCCTGACGAAATCCAAAACAAAAAACAATCAAATTAATAGTGATGATTAAAATGGAATGATAAGAACATGGGCGAAAGGAGAATACCGAAAGTGGACTGGGCAGGGAGGAAGAGCTCGTAGCGGGGCCCGTTCCCCAGGGCCGAGAACGACGTCGATCTTGATCATGGGCCCACGAGGGGAGGCGGAAGCACCAACGCCAGCAGCCACTGCCGCCTTGTCCTCATCTTCCCGCCTCTGGACCAGCGCCTTCGGATTCGGGTTCGGATTGCTTTTCACCATCATAAAAAATGGGGCGCGAATCGAGTCGGGGTATCTCGAAATGGAAAGTGTCGGGCTGGGGTTCGAGAATTTGGGAAAAGAAGGGTTTTGTATCGACGGTATTGACTAGATAGCGACTGAGTGAGGGTTTGAGGGAGATAATGAGATATGATCGTACGGGTTTTAACGGAACGCGTTTCGTTAATGGGTTGGTCGGTTCCAATATTTGAGCGGCGCATTTGTCATCACATACACGGGGTTGATATTTCAACCACAATGGTTATTTAAAAATGAATATGAACACCTATTTAAATTTTTTAATATTTTAATTACAGAATTTTATATTTATGATTAGAATCGTTCATATTATGAATGACATTGTAAAGATTATTTTTGTAAAAAATAAATTAAAATTAAGGTCGTTTAGTCAATCTATTATAGCAAATACATAGACGGTTTGTAATACTTTTACTAGTACTGTTTATTTGTTTTTAAACAGTTTGATGACTAAACAACCTTAGTTTTAATTAATTTTTTGCAGAGGCGATCTTTATAGAGTGATTTATAATATGAACTGTTCTAATTATAAACACGAAATTCTATGAATTGGCAACGAACAATTTTGAGAAATTTTAAGTAGGAGTTCCTACTCATCTTTGAGTAGCTAAGTATTGTTCTTTCAACAAACCTACATAAGGGGAGTGGATAAACAAAAAATTGTTTAGGGAGAGAAAATGCTCTCTCAAACTCCCACCCTTGCGACAAGTGGCCATTTACTAAAATGGTGAAAAGTGTTGAGCTTTTTACATAACGAATGAGTTCAAACCCCGTCGATAGCTAATTTAACATCTAAAAAAAGACTCCCAACCTCGCGTGCTGCCTTCTGCTACCATTTTGAGAGCCGGTGGCATACTTCCTCAGCGTTCATTGGGCTATTTTTAGCGTATCTTTTGCTCTCTTCATCTTCTTCTTTACTCCTCTTAATTATCTTTAGGCTGTCATTTTTCAACAACCATCCTCCTCCATCTCATTCCTCTACCACTCATCCTTACAATCCATCACGCAATTACATTTTGAGTAGTGATATAGAACAATTTTTTGAACCAAATTTGCAAACTAAATTATGTGTAATCAATAGGAAATAGGTACATTAATCAACACTTAACTAATCTAATCATCAACCACCACAATATTTGATTTACAAATTCTGATTTAAAATTTGGTTTCCCTAGCATTACTCTTACATTTTCTCAAATCTCCACGCAACAAACTAAAGACAAACACCAAATTCAATTCCTCCCTTCACTGCCCCTAACCAACATACATATTGGATTTTCGAAATCAAGTGTGTCGTGACTTTGGCCAAAGCAAGAGTATTTCACATACCTCTTTGCCTCACTCATTTTTTAATAAACCTTCCTCGGCTTCTTCCCCGCCCCCTGCCTACCTCCTAGCAATATTTAGAACTTTGTTAGGTACCTTTTTTTATTCTTTAGAAAATGTATATAATCCATTTTTCAAAATTTTTATTTCTCAGGCTCATTCAGAAAAATTTGTCATGAGCCTGAAAAACTTGTCCCAAAAAAATTATAGCTCAAGTGTTTATACCTTGAGTTAAGAAATTTTGTTTTACACAATGATGTTCTACTAGCTGAGAGGTTCCTAGTCAAGTTATAATAATTATGTGTCAAAATCGTCATTTAAACAAATCAAATATATAAATTATTTTAAATACAAATTGGTTGTATTCATGAACCAATTGAGACACATGTATAACCAGTTCAAATGTTCTAATACAAATGCACAATTTCATTGCTCACTCTTTGCTACTTTCATTTCATTCCTTCGCTCCAAATGAACCCTAATAACCTTTACAATGAAGAAAGTTGAGAAGATATAGACATGACAACAATAATCGGTGAGTGAATTGTATGATATTGTTGTCGAAGAAGATGTTACTGTCAAACACCAAATTCACAGATAAGAAAATCAGCATGATTTACATCAACGCCCAATGAAAGATGGCTTCGGTCTAGGTGATCAACCTCCAAGATATATATACCGTCGAGCAATTTCAGAGGCGCTGCCGGTTGCGACCTTCATATGCACTTGGACAACAATAGTTGGAGGAGTCGTCAACAATGATGATTATTTTAAGCAGAAATTATATGCACTTGGAGTTATGGGTTTATTGCCCTGTCAAAAGATAACAGGCGCGCTTCGGATGCAGGCATGCAGTGTCGGATCCAATAAAATATTTAATCATGTAAAGTTTCTGATTTTGTGATTAGGGAGTACAAACATAGCTTCAAAAGAAGTAAAAAATGATTAGGAGGTAAGTAATTTGCAATTATTGGTTATGGAACTGCGGGAGTGGGTGTGTACTGACTGACAAAAACTCATTTGGAGTGGTCTATTTGGTAATGGCGTGCCTAAACGCAGCGTAACATCCAATCCTGCCCTGTACTCTGTAGGGTGTTTGACAATTTTGGGCATCTACTCGAAAGAAAAACAGTTCCATCAGGCAGGGCACGTGTTGTCTTCCCACATTGTGAAAACATTCCACGTGTTATGTATGTATGTTGGGTTACTGGTGAAGTGATAGGGCATAGTAGGAGATCAGAACTGTGGACAGCCCCTGTTCTGATACGTCTCCATTGATCATGCGTTGTAAGGCCAATTCGTATAAACAATATTTAGTACATAATCTTCCTCATGCAGGAGCAGCTCATATTTTCTTTCAGGAATTTATTGTTTTTTGCAGCCCTGAAACTGAATTTTCGAAGACTTATTTCTCGAACTTTACACGTAAAACTGATGTCATCTGAAAATCAAAATAAAGTAGGCGCTTAAGAACTTGCATGCCAGACTCAGTCATTGAATAGATTTATAAGAATGAGGTGCATAATGATTACAAGCAGATAATGAGCTATAAGTCGTTACATTATCATCTTATGTACTATTTTTTTTGGTTGAAATATGAGTTTAAACTTAATTGCTTAATTGGATGAGATGACTATATGTAAGTGATAGTACCTTTTTTAGTTGATCAAGAGAACAATTCTGTATATGTATGTATGTTGTTACAGTTGTCAAATTAAGTTCAACTTATACTATCAAATTTATCATGTTTATGTATTCTTTTACTTTTGCACATACTCTGAAGAGAAACAGGTATGAAGTTAAAACCGCATAATGAACTAGCTAAAATTAGTTATAGATCTCATCATAAACATTATACGTCATTGTCATTCATGTGAGTTAAACATGATGCTTCTTACTTAGAAGTTAAAAGAAAATACTAATAAACCTCAATAGTAGTTCGCATTTATTCTTTAATATATATGTATGTGTGTAACTTTGCTAAACAAGCATGTCAAGTTGTCCAACTATAACCTTCATTTTATTGCTTTTTAACAGTGGGAAGTTGGGTACTCAAACTTTTAAATTCTCAAACGTTCTGAGATAAATACTAATTAAACCAACCTTTTCAGGTAATAAATTCTATGTGATAATGTCAACTCAAAAGCCAATATTTCATAAGTTGGTTAAATTAAAATGATGTGTATTTAGTCTGAGAGTGGAGCAAGAGTTCCGTGATTCTTATACTTGCGTGCGCTCTTCTTAATTCTTCTACTTTTACCGCATCGGTGCCAAAAACAGCATAATGCAGTAAGACCAACTCCAACAATGGCTTATAACCTAAAATTCTCCTTCCCTACCCCCTCCTCCCAAAACCCACTCCAACCCATGTGCTAAACAAAACCTAAAATCCAAAACTCAAAAGAAGGCCAGATACCAGCCCATTTTTAGGCCAGAAGTCATTATGGGCCCTACTTGTTGTGAGTGAAACACGGGCTGTGAAGCCCAGATGCTTGAGCCACTCGCCCAACGCGCCAGCCATATTCCCACGGGGACCCCACCCACGTGGGCGTGTCCCCTGCTGTCAGTAGCCTAACGGCTACTTTTTTCGATCGAACGGCCATATTTAAATGGGCCGTTGGTTAATCCAACGGTCCAGGTTCAAATACAATCAAACGGCTTAGATCAAATACAATCAAATCTAACGGTAAAAAAAAAAATCTAACTGTCCAAACTTAAATCCAACGGCTAAAATAATTTAAAAAAATTATTTAACTTAAAATTCAACCAAAAACTCTATAAATACCTATGTATTTGTTCAAACATCCACACAAAACTCACTTTTCTCCTACAATTCTTCCAATTTTTCTTTCTACCATTTCTTCTCATTTCCAAAATTTTCAAGATGGCAAAAAAGCATGTTAGAGGTCGTAATTGGACCTTTAACTGAAGATATTGCTTTATGTTTGGCATAGATTTCTGTTAGCGAAGATGGTATCATCGGCACCAATCAAAATAGAAAGGTTTTGTGGGGTAAAATCGTTGATAAATTCCATGAAAACTCCAACGTTGGTCGAAGGGAAGTTGGTGGTGTTTATGATTCGTGGAAAATTATCAACAAAGCGTGCACTTTGTGGAAGGGAAGCTTGGAGAGAGTCATGGTTGACATGCCTAGTGGAAGGGGCGCCTTAGAAATTGTGAGTTTCTTTGTTGATATTTTAATTGTCATGTACATAATAGTATTTTGCAACTAATTGTTTTTATGTATTTGTTGCATAGGGTGACAAAGCAATGACAATTTACAAGATAAGAACTACACCAAAAAATCAAGCTTTTAAGTTGCATCATGCTTGGAACATCCTCTAGGATTGTCCAAGGTGGGGAACCGATGTGAACCAACAATGTGGAAGATTATTTCATAGTGAAGCCCCACCCCCAAATGATGTCAATGAAGGTGTGAATTTTGCCGACAATGAAGGTGTCGAACAAATGACTCCAACTTCTTCTTTTGAAAGGCCCTCGGGTAGAGATAAGCAAAAGGAAGCAAAGAGAAAAGGGAAGTCCCAAGATCCGACACGTGCACAATTTGCTAGCGAAATGGCAATAATGAACGAAAACCAGTGCTATCGGCAAGAAGAATCGCCCCAAATGCTTTTGGCCATGAAGGAAGAAGGGGATAGGGAGCAAGAAAGGTACAAAATTAATTTGATAATGGAGGACCTCGACAAATACACTCTAGAGAGAAAGAGATACTTACGTGGTAAACAAAAGGAAATTTTACGAAGGAATGCCACAAGGAGTATATT